ATTTTACTCATGTTTGTTACCTACCTAGTTCCTAAAAATGAGTCTGTGACCTCTGATATATTCCTGGCCATACAGTTTTTTGCTTACCCCATCAAAAATTTTTTTCCTACCTCCAAGATTTTTATCATGACATTGACTCTGCTTGGAATGCTCTTTCTCTTTCCCATTTGTCAAATCTAATGCATCTTTGGTGCTAAAATTTCCCCTCTCCTCTGCTTAACCAGCTCAAGGTAACAGCTCCATCCTGTCAATTCTCATTTAGTATTTAATACAGAGTGCCTTTTATTAAATTATATGGGTATATGTCTTATGTCCCTTGACAAATTGTAAGCTCTGGAAGGATAGGCTTTATGTCTGACTTATTTCTGTATAACCAACGTCAGAGGGTGAAGGATATAGTTCCTGATTTGCAAATGTCTGCTGAATGAATCACCATGAAAATTGACCTTTAGGCAGGGTGCAGTGGCTCACATCTGTAATCACAGCACTTCGGGGGGCTAAGACAGGAGGGTTGGGTGAGGCCAGGAGTTCAAGACCAGCCTGGGCAACATAGCAAGACCCTGTCTCTACAAAGAAATCAAAGAATTAGCCAAGTGTGGTGGTGCACACCTATAGTCTCAGGTAGTCAGGAGCTAAGGCAGAAGGATCACTTGAAACTTTAAGGATTACTTTGAACCAGGAGTTTGCGATTGCAGTGAGCTATGATGACACTATTGCACTCTAGCTGCAACAACAGAGTGAGACCCTGTCTCAAAAACAAAAAAACAAAAAAACTTTCCTGGCAGAAACATGAGTAGACTTTAGAAACAGACTCATATAAATGAGAACTTAAAACCAGTTAGGCTGATTACAAGATAGTGTAGCATCATGATTCTGTTATGAATAAATGGTGTTCAGAAAACTGGTGGGCAATGTGAAGAAAAATAAAAGTAGATCTCTAACTCGTAACATATCTAAAAAATTATACCCAAATGGATCAAAGACAGAAACATGAAAACCAATAAGATGATATAAACCAGATTAAAATACAAATGACTAACTGAAAGAAGATATTTGCGACATATGTAAACTTGGAAAGTACTCAGAAAACATTTTTTTAAACTACAAATCAGTAAGAAAACGGTAAGCAATCTAATAGAAAACTGAGAAGATATAAACATACAACTTGTATAAGATAAAATCTAGGCTGGGTGTGGTGGCTCACCTCTGTAATCCTAGCACTTTGGGAGGCTGAGATGGGCAAATCGCTCAAGGTCAGGAGTTCGAAACCAGCCTGAGCAAGAGCGATACCCCATCTCTACTAAAAATAGAAAGAAATTAGTTGGCCAACTTAAAAAAAAAATAAAATATATATATATATAAATTAGCCAGGCATGGTGGCACATGCCTGTAGTCCCAGCTACTTGGGAGGCTGAGGCAGGAGGATCGCTTGAGTCCAGGAGTTTGAGGTTGCTGTGAGCTAGGCTGATGCCATGGCACTCTAGCCGGGGCAATGAAGTGAGACTCTGTCTCAAAAAAAAAGATAAAATCTGAATGACCAAAAAACACATATAAAAAAAATCCATAGCCTTTCTGGTCATAAGGAAATTGCAAATACCATTTCTTACTTGTAGGACTACCAAAAACTTAAAAGTCTAATAAAATAAAGGATTGGCAACAATGTGGGAAAATGGGACCCTTTAAAAACACTTTCAGCACATCTGAATTCTGACTAGCCACATTTCAAGAATATGTGGCTAGTAGCCACATGTGGCTAGTAGCTACTATATGTGAATAGACCAGCTCTAGAGAGATATATATGCACAAAAAGACACATACAATGTTTCTAACTGCACAAATCATAAAACTCTAATGTCTATCAATTGAAGAATGGATAAATGAAATGTATCATATAATAGAATATTACAGAACAGTTAAAAGGAATGAATTAGATGTAAATGTATGTAAACATAAGCCTCAAAAATACTGTGTGAAAAAATTAAGTTACAGAGTGATACATAGAAAATATTGTGTTAATGATACAATATAATACTATATATTGTTTACAGATACACATATAATATTTTTAATAGACTGGGAGTTCTCATTTAATTCATAATTATAGTTGCTTCTCGGGAGGATGAGAGGGTGATGGGCTTGAGATCAGAAGAAACAGGAATAAGTTCAACTTTTATTATTTTACCTTTTTAAAAAATGAGGACATAAATAGATCCGGATGTCAATAATCAATTTAAGGTGACGAGCACACAGTGTTTATAATATTCTCCATATTAGTTTCACATAATAATAATAATAATTTTTATTTTAAATAAATGAACCCAGAGAAAAAGAAAACAATATATTAAAAAGAAACATGTACTTGTGTCGGGTGGGTGGGGGGGGAGGAGGAGATGGGTATATACAAACATAATGAGTGAGATGTGCAACGTTTGGGGGATGGTCACGCTTGAAGCTCTGACTCAAGGGGGGAGGGGGCATGGGCAATATACGTAATCTTAACATTTGTACCCCCATAATATGCTGAAATAAAAAAAATGGAGAAAAAAAAGAAAATGCAGTATATATATATATTATATATATATACACACACACACCAAGGAATAAGAAGGAAATAATGGTTTTTGCAGCAACTTAGATGGAATCAGAGGCCATTATCCTATGTAACGAAAAATATTAGGTTAGCAAGTATGAAATGTCCAATTTCCTTAAGTACTAAATTTGACAGTTGCTATTTCTGACATTTTACTTTGACACTTCTTGTTTTATTGTGAAGGTACATCTTCATTCTGTCAAACACACATTTTGGCATGTGATTATCTTTCACATTTTTTTTACAGCAATTTTTCTGAAACCATGGATAAATTGAAAATGAGTGTTATTTTCGAATACAAGTTCTATGGTGGAACCAATGCAGCACAGACAGTTCAAAATAGCAACAAAGTGTTTGGGAAGGATGTGGCTAATGAACACATAGTAAGTTGATAGTTTGAGAAGTTCCATTCCAGTCATTTTAATCTTGAAAATGAGCCAGTGGGCAACCTGAGACCAACAGGGAATACGATGAGCTAAAAGCTGTAGTGAAAGTGAATCCATCTCAACCTACTATGAATTAGCAGCAAGGTTTGACATTAATATTCTAACAATATCGGACCATTTCAAACAAATTGGCAAGGTAAAGCTGGATAGATGGGTTCCGGGTGAATGAAATGAGCATCAGAAGAGAAACTGTCTCCAAGCTTACCTTTCTTTGCTGTCACAACATAAAGGTAAACCATTTCTACACTGTATTGTTACATGTGATGAAAAATGGATTCTTTTGACAATTGCAAGCGTTCGACAATGGTTGGATGAAGTGTCGAAACACAGTCCAAAACCAAATGTTCATCAACAAAAGCTAATGGTGTCTGTTTGGTGGTCCAGCACTAATATTATCCATTGCAGCTTCATGAAACCTGTTCAGTCAATTACAGGAGATGTCTATTGCAACTGATTAGACAAAATGATAAGTATGCTTGCAATTAAGCAGGAGAGATTGGTCACTAGAGAGGAGCCAATCCTCTTGCAAGACAACGCTGGACCACATGTTGTATACACAACATTATTCAAACTACAGAAGCTGGACTTGGAAATTCTCTGTTATCCACCATATTCACCAGACCCTGCACCAACTGACTACCACTTCTTGCAAGGAAAAATATTCAATTCTCAACAAGTGGTGGAAAATGCTTTTGGCAATTTCATGGCTACTCCCTCTCTAGGCTTCTTTGGTGCTGGCATAAACAAGCTACCATTAATATGTCAAAACTGCATCAATAGTTTTGGTGCATACTTTGATTAATTGTACTGCTTCTTGTTTGAGATATAATAAACTTTTGATTCAAAATCGGACATTTCATGTTTAATGACCTAATAAATGCCACATATTATCACTTATAAGTGGGAGGTAAACTATGGTCACACAAGGGCAGAGTGGTATACCGAATATTGTCGACTCACAAGGGGGGAAGATGGGAGGGGGTGAGGGATTTCCTATGGGTTACAATGTACACTACTCTGGTGATGAGTACACCAAAAGCCCAGACTCCACCACTATTATACAATATACACATGTAACGGAATTCAACTTGTACCCCCTAAATCTATTAAATTTTTTTTAAAAATTAAAGTAAATGAGATGCCTGTATATGATGTAAATATTACCCTGTAATTTCCTGTTGGTCCCAATATAATGTTGACTGGTATTCTAAGCATTCTATGAGCTCACTGGTCATCCTAGTCCTATTGACCTAAGAGTTGCAGCCGGACGCCCAGAGGCGGGTGAGTTGGGGCTATAGGCTTGCAAAGTATCAAGTTGACATGTACAAAGAACAGGGCGTTGAAAAATTAGTTACGAAGGTATACATGGAACAGGGCACGATTAACAGGTGTATAAAAAGGAGGGTAAAGGTTGCAGCTGGGGACGCAGTATGTGGGGTAGGAAAGAGTACCGAGATGTGTGAAGTGGAGGGAGAGCATAAGAAGCAGAATTTAGGGGCTGTGGGGGTCCCGCCAGGTTTTTCAGCCTCAGCTTCAGCAGCCTAATCCGCACAGCTACTTCCACAGCTCCTCCAAATGGGCAGCTCCTTGATGGCTACCCTCCTCCCTTTCGGTCGCTCCCCTCACCTGGGACCAGGGATTTCGGAGAGCCGCAGCTGCCTCAGATAATGGACCACATACCTATTCTCCCGCCAATTCGGCACTCTGACCTCCGCCTTCTGACCCCAAGCGCCACTCTTCGTTTTCCGAAGCTCAGGAATGCGTTTTGGGGCCTCAGGAAGCCGCTGTTTCTGCAAAATGACTCCTACCGAGGCAATACGGCAGGTACCAACGCCACGAAAATATATCTGCATGTGTTTTAATGTATATTTTCACTTATTACAACTCTTCCGTAGTTTAAACTTCCGGGTCAGATTCACTGCATCCTGGGAAATGTAGTCCTTACTTCCCATGCCTTATTCCTTGGAGCCCCGAGTGAGGGAGCGTCGTGAAAGTTGCTCGTTTACGAACTCTCACCTTTGGCTCTCCAAAGGGAGAATTGGTTAAATATGTGCGCTGGAAATAATACAAGTCCAATTTTCTGTTTTTCTAAGAACTCTACCCTCCTGAAGCTTGGGAAGGCTCGAGAATCATCTCTCTTAGATACCGAAAGGAGCGGCAAGTAGAAAGTCTCTTGGTCCCTGACAGGTCTCCGCCAGTCTTGATGCCCCGCCCTCCCTGCTGGAATCCGCGCCGCCGATTGGCTAGGAGCACAGGAGCGGCGGAAGCAGCTGGCTCCCGCGGGGACTGTAGGGAGGGGGCAAGCCGTGAAGATGGCGGCAGTCGTGGAGGTGGAGGTTGGAGGAGGTGCTGCTGGGGAACGGGAGCTGGACGAGGTAACAGGAGTTGAGAGGCGAGGAGAAGAGACTCAGACTGAAACGGAAGGGAGGGGCAGTGAGGTGTCGGGGGATGGGGTCCTAGGAGAGAAGGGAAGGATCCGGAGAGGGAAGCAGCTTACTTGGGGGCGGTGCGCGGTGAGAGAAAATCAGAGGGACTTTTGACTTAGGGACCCCGAGGTGGTCATGCGGGTGGAAGACTTGCAGTAACCTCAAGGGTGGAGATAGAGGACAGTGATAGAGGCCGCAGTGGGTAGGGGGTGTTAAGATTTTTGAGATTATTAGCTGGGGGTCCTAGGGTAGGACTTAAGGTCTTAGAGGTAGTTTAAGAGTTGGAGGGGTGTGAATTTCTGTAGGGAAACGCCGAGCCTCCACTGTGGGAGAGGACTCTGTCTAAGCTTGGGATGGGGGTTGGGGACACGGATCAGGAAGAGTGCTAATCTACTAGTATTGTAACCTTGAGTAATTTTAAAGTAGGCACTCTTTTATTAAATTTATCCTTACATTCTGGGACTTTGTACATAATGCATGCTGAGTAAAGTTTTGGTCAACGAATGAAAAAACGAATGGATGAATGACTGTATACTAGAATTCATCATTCACTCATTTAACAAACTTTAAGCATCACCTTTGCACTGGGTCCTGGGCTAGGTGCTGAAGAGCCCAGAGTCTAGTGGTGAGAGACAGATAAGACTAGTCATTGTGTCAGAGGTATGATGCTGGCACTGAGAAGAGGGCACCACTTCAGTTTGGGCTAGGAAACCTTCCCAGAGTTGCTGAGTCTTAAAGGATAAATCTCTCTCTCTCTCTCTTTCTTTCTCTTTCTTTCTTCCTCTAGACTTATGAGTTCCTCAAAGGTGAGCTTCTTGAGGGTATTTGTCCCTTTTACCTATCTAATAGGCATTTAAGGACTGGTGTATTGAATGTGGTCCTTGAAAGAATCACTAGGAGAAAGGAGAAGTTGGGTTTGAAAGAAATGAATGAATAGGGCTGAGAAGCAGAGAAAGAGATGAGAAAGGAAAGGGAAAGGATTCTGAGGCCAAAGGGACATTAATACCTAGAGGTGCTTATGGTCTTGCGCAAGATGGCATTTGGACAGAGACGGCACAGAGGAATAGCAGGATGGGGATTGTCAGAGACAGAACCAGTGGAATCTCTCAGGAGTCAGAATCTTAGAGGCCCTTTCCTGTGGTTTGGTGTAGGGAGAGTGGGGAGGATTGGGGATAAGGTTCAGGGAAAGGGACTTGGGAAGCAGATTGTTGCTTGGTGGAGTTGGAGGCTCATTATGGTGGGGGGAAGAGATAAGAGCACAGGGAAATTTTAAAAGCAGCATTGTAATCCCTGCCTCCTAATCACTGAAGACTCACAGTGTTTGGATACCAGTTGGTTGGTTAGATGGGGTGGCTGTGAAAATGACCTCTAAGGCCCCTTTTAGCTCTAAGTTTCTGTGATTACAATTGGCTCAGTGAGATACATTGGCAAGCACTTTGGAAAGGATAAATACTGAAGTTATTATTTATGGTTCGTTAACTGTGGGCTCTCCTTTGAGACAGTTATATACATCTCTTTCAAAGAAGGAGATTTAGTTATTTATATCAGGGTTCATTGAGATAAACAGCAAAAGTTTGGGCAGAGAAGAAAAGAATTTAAAACTTTGATGTAAGACATTTTTTGTTTCTTAGCTTTTTTTTCTTTATCACATTAACTGCCAAATGAGTTGTATTTAACTTAAGCTAGTTTTGAGCCCAGGGCCTTGTTAAACATTTGTAACTCACATGTCTCTTCACCTTGGGAGCTGTGTGAACTGTTTCTCAGGTTGCATATAATTCATACTCAGAAAACAATAAAAAGTAAGTTTTTCATCACATTAGAAAGGATCACTTTGTTTTTGAAGTTTTTATTCTGTTTTGGTAATAAAACACCGTGGCCCCAAGAAAAAAAATTTTCTAGTGTGGGCATGAATGTGTTACTGTTTTAAGAGCTTAAGGGCTTCTAGGAGTATACTTTCCACAGTACCATGCCTAGAAGTTAATTTTATATGAAATCATTAGCATCCATCCCAGAAACTTTGCTACTCGTTTCATTCCCTGACAAAGAATATAATCTGTTGTCTGGAAATTCTGTGCAGACTGGTGTGTTTTTTGGTATGTTTAAGAAAGTAACTCTGAGAAGCAGGAGCAGTCCAAAAAGAACAGAGTTTTGGTCTGGCAGAGCTTTGTATTCAAGTTTCTACTAATGTCTCCCCACCTGTTTATTTGCAGCCTTAACTTGTGAAAGAGAAGGTGTCTACTATGTGTCATGCACTGAGAATTCAAAAATGAGTAAGACAGGATATTGACCAGTTTAGTGAAGAGACATGCAAATAGCGCACTACAATATCAGGTAATTGATATAATGGAAATGTGTAACAGATGCAGTGGGGCACAAGAGATAAGCCATTGAGTTGGCTAGAGGGAGTTAGTGAAGTCTTTATGAAAGAGATGGGTTTGAGCTGAAAAATTAAAGGTTGAGTTTACAAAAAAAAACAGTGATTTGCATGTGGCATCAGAGTTGCCTGCCTATAGCACTTTCTGCTTCGTTGATAGATTGCTGTGGAGCCCAGATTATAAAAGGGTAATGGGTAAGATGGGGTTGGTGCATATTTCTACTTCTTTGGAAAGAATGTACACATGGTGGTTTATTCTTCAGGATATTATACCTATGTTTTCCAATATCAGATGCCATTGGGATGATACATAGTCTGGAATAGCAAGTTCATTCATGTTCCTTTCCTCTTTTTTGTCTGGTTTCATTATTACTTTCTCCAGAAGTTGAGAGGCAATTTAGGCTTTGCTAATGGCTTTTAGAGAGGTAAATAGAAAAGAGGGCTTATGAAAAGAGCTACAAGTAGAAAAAGGTTACTGCTTGTTGAGCCCTTACCATAAGCCAGCCTCTGTTTAAAGCCCTTTACCTGCATTATCTCATTTCTATTAACAGCAGCTCTGTGAGTTAGATGGTGTTAATTGCATTTTAAAATGAGGAGTCTGAGGCTAGAGAGTTTAAGAAACTTTCCCAGGATTCCACAGTTTGCAAGTGGGGACGTGCAGATTCTGATCAAGGTCTGCCTATGATATATTGAGCTTAGCCCAATGCTATACTGAGCACTTGGGTTCCTTTTCTTAGTTTACTATTTGTGCTGTGGGGGGTAGGTAATTTAAAATTGTATAGGCTCAGTCATCTCATGTAAAAATTGATAGAGCATCTTTGATAAGTGGCTGTGATTCAGAAGAGCATTTTGAATCTGACATTTGTGAGGTTGGTTTTATTAGTATTTCCTGTTTATGATTGAGGAAGCTAAGGTTCAGAGGATTTGAGGTATGCCAAGGGTCTTGTGACTAATAAGTGGTGTCACTAATATTTGAACCCATGTTTCCAAAATGTTTCCTCTGAGTCTAAAGACCCAAACTGCAGACTCATCTTACCAAAGTAAACTACCCCTTTCTTTACATACAAAAGTTCCATTTTCAAAACATAAAGTAGCGTTTCATCTCTGAGAGGATCAAAATGGGGGTTCATGAAAAGAATATTGTTTTTTCTATGTAGGTCCTTTAATTTACTGATAACTTGATTCTGCTGAACCCCTGATCAGGAGGAATGATTAGCGTATTGGTAGTTAGGGAGATGAGAGATGGTTCTAGCCTGCTCAGATCAGGTATTAAACAGGCTGTGATGATTGGCTAAGCTCAGTTCTGCCTCTCATCATGCCAAACCACAGTGTGCTTACAGCTGTTAGTAGAATAACTGTGGGTACCAGTTAGGAGGCCCAGAAGCTGATCTACTCCTGCAGCCAGTGATTTCCTTATGGTGGGGGGTGGCTCGCCAACCTCTGAGAAGAATTAGAGGCATCCTTTTGGCACAGAGAGCTAGCATGGGAACTAAGGTAGAAAAACACTTCAATATCCAATTAGGGCCAGCCAGCCTGCCTTGCTAGAGCCTGTGAATTCTGGATGTGTCCACTCCCAATGCCTGTTCATCTGCCAAAATGATGTGATGGCAAACAGATCAGGAAGTAGTTTCAAGCCAGAGTTCAAAGGCAGGTATCCCAGCCTGCAACTAACTTGGGGTATTACTGCCTCAAGCGACTAATTTACCTCTCCTTAAAAGAGGAGATTGGACTAGATTGGTGGTTTTTAAACCTCTCTTTAGTCATGAAATTCTTTTTTGTTGTTGTTGCTCAGGCTAGAGTGAGTGCCATGGCGTCAGCCTAGCTCACAGCAACCTCAAACTCCTGGGCTCAAGCAATCCTGCTGCCTCAGCCTCCCGAGTAGCTGGGACTACAGGCATGTGCCACCATGCCCAGCTAAGTTTTTTTCTATATATATTAGTTGGCCAATTAATTTCTATTTATAGTAGAGATGAGGTCTCGCTCTTGCTCAGGCTGGTTTTGAACTCCTGACCTCGAGCAATCCGCCCACCTCGGCCTCACAGAGTGCTAGGATTACAGGCGTGAGCCACCGTGCCCGGCCTTGAAATTCTTTATTCAAACAAAATCTCACTCGGAAGCCTTGTGGTCCTGGAAAGGACTCAACAGAACCCCTATGGCGTTTGAAGCCACATTTTGAAAACCAAGGGGCTTTTACTTACAGCCCACTGATTAGGTGACCCTACTTTATGTTCCTTCAGCCTGCCTGTACTTTTCCTAGCCCAGCCCTACCAAGCATTATTATAATTGTCTATCTGTCTTCTCCGCTAAACTGTAAGTTTCGTGAGAGAGCAGAGTCCAAAGCTATCTTGCTCGACATTGTATTTCCTTTGCTTAACATGGTTCCTGGCATACAGTAGGCACTGAGTAAGTATTTGATAATCATTATTTTTGAGTAGAGGAGTAGTAATATCTACCATTTGGTGAATATGAAGTGCTAGCTCCTCTGCTTAGTAGTGTATACTTTTATACTAAATGTTTGCAACATCCCTATGAGGATTGAATTATTGTGCTAAATCATGTCTCAAGGTCTCACTCA